TCCATATTTTGCATCAATATAATTTGGAAATTGTTTAAATTATTCATTTAACATTGAAAGTCTGGTAGAACTTCATACTCCTTTAACATTGTTCTATTTAAAACAGGATATATTTTGACTTGCACACATCTTGAAAACTCGTATTAAATTTGCCAGGGTGCTTGTTTAATATAGTTTCCCCAAGTAGTGTTCATATCAAAATATATTCCTGTATCGCAGGACCAGCCTATAACATTACAGATTTTTTCATTAAAATTCAATCTGATGAACAAAAACTTAAACATTTTTTATGGAAGAATGCATGTAAGAAATAATCCTATATGTATTTTTACTTAAAAAGTCATACCGTTTTACCGAGCTTTTGCACCATATATCTGCTAACGTCTTCTTTGATTGGCCAAGTTGAGATTCTAAATCTAACATGAGACACCATTGGATGAAATATGTCATGTGATCCGAAGTTAAATGTCCCAAAGTTTCATCAACCAATCCCGACATTCCACTAGAATCACTTTGTCTTCCTTCTACTTTTCTATAAAAGCAAAAAACAAAAAATTGAAAAAACAAAAAAACGAAAACAAGAGGGCCATGATGGCCCTGAAATTGCTCACCTGTATATAGGCCCCTGGACCAAGGCCAATTTTAAACCAGAGGCTTTTATTTGAACAAACTTGGTAGACACCCATTAGAAGACGTTTCATGATAAATAACAGTCTAAGCTCTAGCTCTTTGGGGTTTTAATAAGAAGATTTTTTAAGTTTTTACTATATACATATAAGGAAAAACAATGACCCCCACCCCTCGGAGGGGCCAATTTTGACTCCAGGGCTTGTATTTGAACAAACCTGGTAGACACTCACTAGAAGATATTTCATGCTTAGTATTTAAACTCTAGCTCTTTGGGTTTTTTATAAGATCTTTTAAGTTTTTAATATACACATATAAGGAAAATCAATGACCTCCTGGGGCGGGGCAAATTTTAACCAAAGGGCTCTTATTTGAACAAACTTGGTAGACACCCATTAGAAGATGTTTCATGTTAAATATCTTAGCTCTATCTCTTTGGGGTTTTTTTACAGAATTTTTTTTAAGTTTTTATCAAAAAAGGGAAAAACAATGACTCCATGGGGCAGGGCCAGTTTTGACCCCAGGGCTTTTATTTGAACAAACTTGGTAGACAACCACTAGAGGATGTTTCATGCTTAATATCTAAGCTCTAGCTATTTTGATTTTTTAAAAGAGGATTTTTTAAGTTTTTACTATATACAAATAAGAAAAATCAATGACCCCCTGGGGCAGAGCCAATTTTTACCCCAGGGGTTTTATTTGAAGAAACTTGGTAGACAACCACTAGAGGATGTTTCATGCTTAATATCTAAGCTCTAGCTATTTGGGTTTTTTAAAAGATGATTTTTTAAGTTTTTTACTATATACAAATAAGGAAAATCAATGACCCCCGGGCGGGGCCAATCTCTCAATTCCTACCTTAACAACCTCACATGGCAAAAATGTACTAAAACAGGCATTATGAAAACTGTTAAATGATAGCATGTTACAGAAAAGTCTTTATTTTGAAATTAGTTAGTTTTTAATCCATATTGATTTAACTAAGTATACCTCTGATAAATGGAGCAATTTATTAGTTGAGGACATTTCTGACAGGCTCGGATATTTGAAATGGGATCTGGCAACCTGCCAAGAGTAAATGTTTTCGGCTCACTGTCTTCTGTTGATTTTATCACTTGTCTAGATATGTAATACGCCATTTCATTACGCAACTGAATCAGACCTGAATACAAAGAAAACATTTACATTATGAAAGTCAGTAAGTGTTCCGGGATGAAAACTTTACTATAAAATTGAAATTAACAAACCTTTCAATATAAGTTGAATAATAACTTTTATCTCTTTTCCTTTGGTTAACCTTTACCATGTTAAGTTTGTATGATACTCTTGCCCTTGTTTAAATTTCAACCTATTCATTACAACAATAAGGTGATACTAAATGTTGGTGCTGGCTGGCCTGGCTCTATACTAGCAGCTTAAACAAGTCATTGTAACAAGCATCTAAAGGATCTAGGGATAAGGTTAACAACCTGTATTTAAATCCGGGCTTTAGAAGATTTAAATCTATGCTGGCCACTAGGATGCATACTTGTAGCTTACACAAGTCAACATTATTGCAAAGCTTTAACATGGTGAAGTAAAAGAACAATCTTACATAAATGTCACTCGGTGGGAAGTATTTAGTCTAACTCAGACTTGCACCCAGTACCCATAGAAAAACTATTCTGTAACACTACCAACTGATTTACTTGGTCACTTATACATGTATATATTTTTTCCCATATAGATAATCAGTTCTCTTCTGTGACATATTCCCTCATTTTATATGAAATCTGTCCTCAAATTACTCTAGGGAAGCAACTACACTTCAAAATCAACTTCAAAATCAAATCAGCAAATTAATCAGGATCCCCTGCTAGACATCAAATGTTAACTGATACAGGGTGAAAAATATGTACACAATTCAAACCGGAAACCCTTTTTTCTTCACTATTAATGATTAGTCCTCTTACATTGTAAAAATAACATTTTTTTTTAAATTTAGTATCTTCAAGCATATGGTAATCAACAAGTACTGCTACATGTAGTTTATCAAGTCACAAATAAATCATCTGCTTAAACACTTAAGGCAATTGCTCACAAAATTAAGTCCATATCAACCTGAATCCTAATCATAAAATATTGCGATAGTTAACAATCATGAAGCCTATAGTCTGTCCCATTAAAAATGGAAATGAACTTTTGCCTGGTATGAATTAACAAAACGATGTTGAATAAAAAGTAAAACATTTTTGTAAACTAAAAAAAAGTCACCCTCGAGATTTTTCAGGATTTTACTCTAAAGTGTCTACTTTTCTTGTGAAAGCAAATTTTGATTTCTCTATGGAAAATCTCTGTTGTTTATTTTCCGTAGCCATTGCCGAAGTACTATTCATTTGAAGATGAACGGGAGAAAGCACGTGTCATGTTTCTAATATATACATGAGGTTCTCGGGGTCGTTTCATGATTATTTTACAAAGCTGGATCTACAAGATGTAACGGTTTAGTTGCAATGCATGATGGAAAACTTTAAAAAATGAAAAATAAGCAACAAGAACACCGAGTCACATGGAGTAGATCTAGAAATTGCACTTACTTAATAGAATCCGATTAACTTTATAAACGTCACGACAAATTCGCATATGAAGATTCCTTCATTGCCAGTTTCTATCCAGTTCCGTAGATCCCACTTTTTGACTTCAAAAATCCTTAATGACATGAGTCATGACTCCTACACTTTTGATGATCCAGATTTTTTAAACTGATAATCCGTCTCATTATTAAAACATTCTTCAATTTGTGGAGTTATCTGGGTTAGCAAATGAAATATGCAAATGAAACACATCATAATTCAGCATGTTCCAAATCCATAATTCAAGAACGGCCCATAAATTTTAGTTGTCTACATCAAAATGCTTATGGATTCCTGACGAAAAACAAGATTGCATTTGAGAAAAATGCTATGCCACCGCATGGTTCAAATTTCATAGCTGTACATCAAAGGACAAGAAAGTAGGTCACATCATCAAAATCTAGGTCACCTGATATCAAAGTTCAATTTTACAACTAAAACTGTGCACGTGGTCAAAATGTCATTGCTGTACATCAAAGGACAAGAAAGTAGGTCACTGTCCCCTTGGGCAAGGCATAATTTTGACCCAAGGGTTTAATTCAAAACAATTTTGATACAGGTCCACCAAATAACATTTCAAGTCAAATATCTAAGCTATAGCTTTCTCCCATTCAGAAAACATTTGTTTTATTTCTGTTTTTACTATGTGTACATAATGAGAATCACTGCCCCCGGGCAGGGCCAATTTTGACACCAGGGGAAAATTTTGAACAACTTTGGTAGAGGACCTATAAATGATATTATATATCAAACATCAAAGCTCTATGCCTTGTACTTTCAGACAAAAATATTTTTCATTTTTTCACTATATGTACATAATGAAAATCAATGACCCCAGGGGTGGGGCCAATTTTGACCCCAGGGCTATAATTTGAACAATCTTGCAAGAGGTTCACTACACAATGTTTCATGCAAAATATCTTAACTCTAGCCTTTGTAAATTTAGAGAAGATGATTTTTAAGTTTTTACTATATACATATAAGGAAAACCTATGGCCACCGGGGGCGGAGCTAATTTTGACACAAGAGGCAAATTTTGAATAACTTTGTAGAGTACCTTTAGATGATATTATTTAACAAATATTAAAGCTCTAAGCCTTGTACCTTCAGACAATAAGATTTATTTATTTTTTACTATATGTATATATTGAAATCAATGACCCCAAGGGTGGGGGCAATTTTGACCCCAGGGCTATAATTTGAACAATCTTGCTAGAGGTTTACTACACAATGTTTCAAGCAAAATATCTAACCTCTAGCATTTGTCAATTGCTAGAAGAATTTTTTTTGAAGTTTTTACTATAAGTTTTTACTATATACATATAAGGAAAACCAATGACCTCCGGGCGGGGCCGATTTTGACCCCAGGGCTATGATTTGAACAATCTGGGTAGAGGTTTACCAGACAATGTTAATGCAAAATATATAAGCTCTAGGCCTTTTGGGTCTTTACAAGAAGGTGTTTTAAGTTTTTACTATATGTACATATAGTGAAAATCAATGACCCCGGGGCGGGGCCGATTTTGACCCAAGGGCTATAATTTGAACAATCTTGGTAAGGGTCTACCAGACGATGCCTTATGCAAAATATCTAAGCTCTAGGCCTTTTGGGTTTTTACAAGAAGATTTTTTAAATTTATTCTTATAATTCCTTTTGGTTGCCATGGCAACCAGATTTCTGCATGGAATGAAATTCTTTGAACAACTTTGGAAGCCCTTCACCCAAGGAACAATCCTGCCAAGTTTGGTTGAAATTGGACTAGTGGTTTTTCACAAGAAGATTTTTTAAGTTCACTCTATAATCTATATAACACACACACAAACACACACACAAACACACACACACACAGGTGAATCGCTATATGCCACCGCATCGCAGATGCTGCGGTGGCATAAAAAATTATTACGTCAACAACAATTGACGAAATATATGACGAAACAAAAATGCCTCGCGCTTTTTATGGATGATTACAGTTGCGGCATTGACAGAGGGCGGTTAGGCATATGTAACCTCAAACAGATAATTTTAAGCGTTGAGATAAATTTGTCTTGATGGCATTTAAAATAATTTTTGTAAACCCAGATTTTGCAAATTCCACGTTCAATTCATATATTAATAATATAAAACTTTTGATAGATTTCTAACATTTAAAAATAATTTTAAACACACTTAAAATGACATGAATCTTCAACAGTACAATACTTCTTTCATTAACTACATATAAAATTTGTTTTGATTTTATGTTTTTGAACATTTTTTATATTTCTCAGAAATAGTTTCCCTACATATTTATCGTTATTCAAGACTTCTGTAAATCTTACTCTTTTAGCTACAAAATATACAATACGTGGTATTTTTCTCCTGCGAAAAATATGCTAGATTTTAGATCTATTGTTTTTGTAAAACACTGAATATTTTCAAATTTAAGGAAGGCTAAAATTATTGAGAACGTCACTCGATGTTTCTCTTTGACTCGATCTACCTTCATATAAACAAAATAATTATTTAGTGTCCAGCTTTATTTGTCATCCAATGAAAACGCTGTATTTCTTAACAAGAGCTGTCACAGGAGACAGCGAAGCTCGACTAATAAAATACTGGACGCAGTAAGGAGGACAAAACTATGAAAGAAAAATCAATTATGTATAATAATGTATTAAGTTATAGTAAAAAAATAACATTTGTTAACATAAATTCCAAGATCAAGGGGAATAATTCTAGAAATAGTCATGCTAGAGTTATGGACCTTGTCACACAACATTTGTGTAATGATAAGAAATATATGTTTGAAGTTTGAAGTAGATACCTTAAAAAGTAAAGAAGTTATTGTATTTCTTAAAGAAAATCCTAAGTTCAAAGAGAGATAAATCTGTAAATATTGCTTCAAGAGTTATGAACATTGTCACATAAAATGTAATTGATGATAAGGAATAAGTATTTGAAGTTTGAGGTAGATACCTTTAAAAATAAAAAAGTTATAATAAAAAATAACATTTTTCTAGTAAAAAATCTAAGTTTATGGGGAGATAATTCTTGCAATATTGGTGCTAGAGTTATAAACCTTGTCACATAAGATGTGGATGATGATAACGTAAATATATTTGAAGTATGAAGTTGATCCCTTTAGAAATAAATAAGTAACAGTAAAAAATAATATTTTTTATGGAAAATTCTAAGTTCAAAGGGAGATAAATCTGAAAATATTGGTGCTAGAGTTATGAACCTTGTCACATAAGATGGGGATGATGATAACGTAAATATATTTGAAGTATGAGGTTGATCCCTTAAGAAATAAAGAAGTAACAGTAAGAAATAGCATTTTTTGAGGAAAATTCTAAGTTCAAGGGGAGATAAATCTGAAAATATTGGTGCTAGAGTTATGAACCTTGTCCCATAAGATGAGAATGTTGATAAGGTACATATATTTGAAGTATGAGGTTGATCCCTTAAGAAATAAAGAAGTAACAGTAAAAAATAGTATTTTTTAAGGAAAATTCTAAGTTCAAGGGGAGATAAATCTGAAAATATTGGTGCTAGAGTTATGAACCTTGTCACATAAGATGTGGTTGATGATAAGGAACATATATTTGAAGTTTGAAGTTGATACCTTAAGAAATGACAAAGTTATAGTGAAAAATATTTTACTGCACCAAAACTTTAATCTAAAATCTGGACGCGGACGCCGACGCCGGGGCGAGTAGGACAGCTCTCCATATACTTCGTATAGTCGAGCTAAAAATTATGTGTGTTAATTTTCATAGAAGAAAAAAAGTCGATACTATATTGAAATCCGTTCATAGTCGACTTCTATTTTTCATAGTGCTTCATAGTACCGTGTAGTGACGTAATCAAGGGCCAAATAAAGCTTGACACTAAATTAATATGTTAGTGTTCATCTTTAGCTGTTCTATAGAAATTAGAAACATTCTCCTGTCGCTATAGCTCCCGTCAAAGTATCTAATTTCTGTAGAACAGCACGGATGAACACTAACATATAATGTAACATTTTGTGTCTACAAAAAAATACACTTATTGTCGCTTATTGAACACTCCGATTCAAACTTTCTCTTAATAATATCAAATCACTGCCGGTATTTCTGGACATTTTGTTGAATTGCGAGACGGAAAGTTAAACATGTATTAACGAGCTTAAAGTGAATTGGCCTACGTGTGATTGCTTAAATTAGAAAGCATGATATTATATTCTTATAATTTACATCTTCCCCGAACGTGAGTCTGTGTTCTCCCGTTAGCGACAGAGTTAGTTAAAGTAGACACTGTGGTAACAAGCAAACCAATGCTGAACGTATAGTGAATCAGTTTTCTTAATATTTTTTTGTCAGATTTGCATGATAATGTAGTATTTGTTGGCGTTTTTTTGTGAAAGTTGAAACCTACGGAAAGTTTTAGCGCACGAACATCGCACCCGAAATAAGAAGGGTAACATATTTTTGTATCCCATCGAACGTGGTCAATTTATTAATTTTTGAATAGACGTGATGCACACTAATGGACAGAATTCAGACAACTACAGAATTATTTAAATTAAACATTGATTAACGAAGAACCATTTTTATAGTCTTCTAGCTGGTATTCCCGCTCCCCTACGACGCGTTGCGGTATTCAAGATACGCGCTTGATTGAAAAGCTATAATCAAATCACTTTCTTAAAAAAATATGAAATACGACATTGTATCATGGTAACTAATTAAATCTTTGTGTGTTAGAATTTATAAACCTTACTGATATTTTCACTTCAAATGATTTTGATTATTTTAAATAATGGTTTGCTAGTAAAATTGCCTTTTTGACTCCAACTTTGTTGTCATTTTTCATTTAATGATAACCTTTAGCTATTGACCAGTAAGTGAATAAGGATAATATTTTTTTATAATTACCGAGTATATTTCACACTAATTGTGAGACGAACCCTAAATGACGTCTATATGGGCGCCGCCATTTTGAAATGGACGTCACGTCAGGTTACAACGTAAGTCAACGGGAAAAAATATAATTTTAGCATTTTGACAACATTCGTGACTTTATGAAAAAAATGAAAAACATGCCTAGAGATATTGACGTCAGGGTTAACATGACATTAATTTAAATGATTTTACTATTATATTAAATAAAAAATGGAATGTTCAAATTTGATGGGACAGACTATAGTTAACAACCATGAAGCCTAGTTTACAACCATGAAGCCTAGTTTACAACCATGAAGGCTAGTTTACAACCATGAAGCCTAGTTAAATACCATGAAGCCTAGTTAACAACCATGAAGGCTAGTTAACGACCATGAAGCCTAGTAAACAACCATGAAGCCTAGTTTATAACCATGAAGGCTAGTTAACAACCATGAAGCCTAGTAAACAACCATGAAGCCTAGTTTATAACCATGAAGGCTAGTTAACAACCATGAAGCCTAGTTGACAACCATGAAGGCTAGTTTACAACCATGAAGCCTAGTTTACAAACCATGAAGCCTAGTTTACAACCATGAAGCCTAGTTTACAACCATGAAGCCTAGTAAACAACCATGAAGCCTAGTTAACAACCATGAAGCCTAGTTAACAACCATGAAGCCTAGTTTACAACCATGAAGCCTAGTTAACAACCATGAAGCCTAGTTTACAACCATGAAGCCTAGTTAACAACCATGTAGCCTAGATTATTTGTATTATAAGTGAATAGTAAATAAAATAGAAACCTTTTTGGTGTAAGTGATCAGCAGGTATAATTTTCATACTGGGTTCTTTTAGATACAGCAGCATGCCTTTCTTTGGATCTTTTCTCCGATCTCCACACATCATAGAGTAAAGGGTCACCTATGAAAATATTCTGTTAATTGCATAATGTCAATAACAAAAGTAGTACTAAAAGTAGAGTCTAAATGAACAGCTCTCATTTATCACATTAAAGTCAGTGGCAGAAACAAGCAATTAAACAGAAGTTATTTAGACAAACCTACTGGTGTTTCAAACTTGTAATGTCAAAGTTCAGCAGATTCAAATAGCATGTATATTTTCTTTTTTCAAGATTCAAGACGTCCTTAAAAAATTACCATTGAAATTTTCAATTTTTCAAAGAAGGGATATACTGGTTTATTAAGGCAACACATTATAACAAACTGAGCATGTTCAAATGGTCATAATGACCTGTCTTAATGTTCTGGTCATATTATTTTCTGCATTTGTAAGGCCTTCAACTCAAAGTTCAGCAGAACCATTCTGTATTTACCTGCTATTTTCGCATTCTATAGTAAATTAATCATTTATAATCTTCCTCAACCATAGGAAATAACTAGCAAACGACTAAGTGACCAGGAAAACTTAATCTTTGCCCTCTGGGGGGCAACCAGATAGGAAAACCTAGCAATTTTGGTAAGGCTAAATCTCAGGTCATTTTGGTGTATCAATAAAACAAGTACATGTGGTGAGGTAAAAACACTTGGGATAAAGCAGCAGGGCAAAGTAAAAACACAGATCATTTCCCCTGGTATTTCCTACAGCTCTCAGTATGATGTGGAGGTGCAGAGTTACAAATCACTAAAACATTACTTTTACACAATCACATCTAGGGAAATCATTTTATACAAGCAAGTCTGATATGAATTCATTACAAAATTAAATTTTGAAATAAAAACATTTGACAAACCTGGCCTTTATGTTCCACAGAGTAGGAAGTTCTACCAGTCTTCAATTCTAATGGCAGCATGGTTGTACCTGGCTCGTTCTGACAATTATATATATTCATGTAAATGATTGGTATTTGTATCAGATATCATGGGTCACAACACCTTCTTGTAGATAATTATAAATAAACAAAATAACTTACATTTCAATTTTAAACTCTTACAACTTTTAAGCCACAATGCTTCATAAAAATTCTTTTCTATTTAGTGTTTAAGGTCATTGACTTCAAGTAATTGACCCTTACCGTATTGGTTTGAATCCCGTCAGAGACTTTGGATTCTTTATTGTGTAGAAGCTATCCAGTCAACTTGCAGGTCAGATAATGCACAAAGGGGGCACCTGAGGTATTCTTCCACCAGTTAATCAAGAAATTCACCATATGACCTTAACTGTGTTTGTGAGATGTAAAATGGAACAAATCCCATAAACTCAAGTGACAAAGAACTCCATTGTTAAGTGGCTACGGTCAGTGACCTTCAACAATTGCCCTACAATAAATCATGTTCTAGTTACCTTGACTTTTGCTTTCCATATCAATTGTGTTTTAAATTATGCAAATCGTAAAGTGTTATGCAATGCTTACTTTAATTTTAACTTCAACTGTGAGATCAATCTTTCCTTTAATACCAAATCTGAAAGGAAATAAAAATTTTAGATGAATAGCTCTATGGTTTTTATTCTGTGACCAGTATTATTTTTCTGGAGACACATGTGCAGTTTCAAGTGGTTAAGTTGCTTTTGGCCATTTAGTTCAAATCAGAAGCAGTCATTTGGTGTACTGTTGCAAAAGTAAAACAACTCTGTATAAAAAAACTGACACATTCATATTTCATGCAATTTGTTTTTAAATGATTAATGTGGAGAAGTTAACAACAACTTGTGGGGAAACAGGTAAGTATAGGTATCAAATACATGAACACTGTTTAGATTGACTGTCAGTCAGTACAATACAAGTCTAAGTCTTTTTTTTAAAAACATTACCTGCAGAATTTGTGTAACAAATTTGCCCTTATCAAATTTTAAAAAAAATAGCCACCAAACAGACAAGCAGGCTAGCCAGGCTCTATACTGGTGGCAAAAGCTTATCAAGTATGGTTCATATAGGTTAAGGGTTGAAATACTGAACAAATAATGCTTACCTTGGAGACCACATGTTTTCTTCTATATCACAAACTTTGGTTACAAGTATGTCTGAGTCACTGGAATCAATAAAATCATAAATATATTACAACATGCATTACTTCATTTCAACAATCAGTGGTTACCATCATAAACACTGATTATATATTGATGTGCATCTATTATTTCTTTGTTAAGACAAGAACGAATCATGTTATTTTATGATACAAGCATGGAACATTGACATAAAATATGCTGTCACATGTGACATCAAGATTCTGAAGCAGAATTAGCTCATTATTCTATACTGACAAAGTTCAACTTATTCACTATGAACACTTTAACTTTTACTTAGAAAATTAAATTAAACATTCTGATACTCATAATGAATAACTTGGGTATACAGCCTTCATAATTATATAACTGTGCACTTTAGCTGTGAATTACTTAATGTGATCACATGATATCCAGATACCAAAGGGCTTTGAGTTGCAGTTCTGATACTTGCATGTGGAACTCTTTTATAATGAGGCCAAATTATAAGAGAAACTGTAAATCTATGGTGAAGTAAAAGTCTGGATGTGTAAAAATGCACTAATTTTTCAACTTTGAGCGTCATGCTTTGAGTTATAATGCTGGTCTAGAAATAATGCATGGAAGTGCATCCTCGTTGTTTCTCTACCAGAAATGCTGTCAAATGACATTAACAAAATTTGGGATGTTAAGACCCATCAAAGATTAATCACATAAAAAAATACCTCTGTTTTTTGGCAGTGAAGCTACTCCCAAATCTAGTATATTGTGTGAGCCATGAGATCATTTGAGGTATGTAATTCTTTATCTCCTCCATAACCTTCTCCTCTGTTACTTGATTAGCATACCTAAAATGGCAGATATATATACATTAATTTTATAGATAAAAACATAGATCTGAGGGCAGCAACAGTCTGATAATATTGGTGTCTGCCTTTCTAAAATGGTGGATTCAAGCCTTACTTGGGTCAAAACCATGCTTCCACATTTGACATCAGATTTTGTTGACTTCAAAGTGACACATATCAGTTGCAAGAACATGTTTCACAATCAGGTTTCTATACATCTCAATGATGTAGGACCTCCATAGTTAAGGTAGCTGTCTTTAAAGCACTTACCCATCTGTGCTGTAGGTTTAAATCCTCTACATAAAGGATTTTGGAATCTCTCATATGATGAAGTTATCCAGCTAGCTTACAGATGGTTTAATACAAATTTAACTACATGCGCCAGAAATAATGCACAGAGAGGTGCTTGTAAAACTGCAAAGTTATTTGTACAATATAAATTGTTGGTGTGTCACTCAATCAGAAGTGAAATACTGTTTTCCTGTTGAACTGATAAACATCATTATGTCAAATTGCAACTTTCAACCCAAGGCCTATGAGCATTATATTATACTTACACAGGGTGGCAGTGAAATTTTCTTTAAACAAGAGGGCCATGATGGCCCTGAAGTCGTTCACCTGTATATAGGCCCCCGGAGCGGGGCCAGTTTAAACCCCAGGGCTTTTATTTGAACAAACTTGGTAGACACCCATTAGAAGATATTTCATGCTTAACATCTAAGGTCTAGCTGGTCAAGTTTTTTTCTTTACACATATAGTTAAAAACAATGACCCAAGGGCTTTAATTTGAACAATCTTTGTAGACACTTACTAGAAAATGTTTCATGCTTAATATCTAAACTCTAGCTATTCGGGTTTTTTCAAAGAAGACTTTTAAGTTTTTGCTATACACATATAAGGAAAATCAATGTCAGCCCGGGCGGGGTCAATTTTGACCCCAGGGCTTTTATTTGAACAAACTTGGTAGACATTAATTAGAACATGTTTCGTGCCAAATATCTAAGCTCTAGCTCTTTGGGTTTTTTAGAAGAAGATTTTTTAAGTTTTTACTAAATGCATATAGGGAAAATCAATGGGGCGGGGCCAATTTTGACCCCAGGGCTTTTATTTGAACAATCTTGGTAGACACTCATTAGAAGATGTTTCATGCTTAATATCTTAGCTCTAGCTCTTTGGGTTCTTTAAAAGAAGAATTTTTTAAGTTTTTACTATATGCATAAAGGGAAAATCAATGACCCCCTGGGGCGGGCCAATTTTGACCCCAGGGCTTTTATTTGAACAATCTTGGTAGACACCCATTAGAATAAGTTTCATGCCAAATATCTAAGCTCTAGCTCTTTGGGTTTTTTAGAAGAAGATTTTTTAAGTTTTTACTACATGTATATGCATGTAGGGAAAATCAATGACCCCCTGGGGTGGGGCCAATTTTGACCCCAGGGCTTTTATTTGAACAAACTTGGTAGACATCAATTAGAACATGTTTCATGCCAAATATCTAAGCTCTAGCTATTTGGGTTTTTTAGAAGAAGATTTTTTAAGTTTTTACTAAATGCATATAGGGAAAATCAATGGGGCGGGGCCAATTTTGACCCCAGGGCTTTTATTTGAACAATCTTGGTAGACACTCATTAGAAGATGTTTCATGCTTAATATCTTAGCTCTAGCTCTTTGGGTTCTTTAAAAGAAGAATTTTTTAAGTTTTTACTATATGCATAAAGGGAAAATCAATGACCCCCTGGGGCGGGCCAATTTTGACCCCAGGGCTTTTATTTGAACAATCTTGGTAGACACCCATTAGAATAAGTTTCATGCCAAATATCTAAGCTCTAGCTCTTTGGGTTTTTTAGAAGAAGATTTTTTCAGTTTTTACTACATGTATATGCATGTAGGGAAAATCAATGACCCCCTGGGGCGGGGCCAATTTTGACCCCAGGGCTTTTATTTGAACAAACTTGGTAGACATCAATTAGAACATGTTTCATGCCAAATATCTAAGCTCTAGCTCTTTGGGTTTTTTAGAAGAAGATTTTTTAAGTTTTTACTATATGCATATAGGGAAAATCAATGACCCCCTGGGGCGGGGCCAATTTTGACCCCAGGGCTTTTATTTGAACAATCTTGGTAGACACTCATTAGAAGATGTTTCATGCTTAATATCTTAGCTCTAGCTCTTTGGGTTCTTTAAAAGAAGATTTTTTTAAGTTTTTACTATATGCATATAGGGAAAATCAATGACCCCCTGGGGCGGGGCCAATTTTGACCCCAGGGCTTTTATTTGAACAATCTTGGTAGACACTCATTAGAAGATGTTTCATGCTTAATATCTTAGCTCTAGCTCTTTGGGTTCTTTAAAAGAAGATTTTTTTAAGTTTTTACTATATGCATATAGGGAAAATCAATGACCCCCTGGGGCGGGGCCAATTTTGACCCCAGGGATTTTATTTGAACAATCTTGGTAGATACTCACTAGAAGATGTTTCATGCCAAATATCTAAGCTCTAGCTCTTTGGGTTCTTTAGAAGAAGATGTTTAAAGTTTTTTCTTTTGGTTGCCATGGCAACCAGAGTTCTGCATGGAATGGAATTCTTTGAGCAACTTTGTTAAGGCTTCACACAAGGAACATCCCTGTGAAGTTTCATTATGATCTGCCTTATGGTTTCAGAGGAGATGTCGTTTGAAAAGTGTGAACGGACAACGGACGACGTACGACATACGACGGACGAAGAGTGATCCTAATAGCTCACCCTGAGCATATGCTCAGGTGAGCTAAAAACAACAACAAAAAAAGTTGTTATATGGTATAAAAGAACAGAATATAAATACCATATTACTTACATTTCTAGAAGATTACTAAGTTGTTTGACAATGGTGGTTGATTCTTGTATAATACTTTCTGCTGTGCTCAACTTTTTCTTTAACACCTAAAATAACAATTTTGGACATTTAAAGATACTGAGAAACTTATTTTTATCCAACAAAATATTGTATAAATTTGTTGTATGAATAAATTATCTGGTCAAAATTTGAAAGAGATTGGTAAAATCCCACTATCTCAGAAAAAAATGTGGACAGTTTAATGATATTATTAACTTAAAACTCTTATGGCTAGAAGGAAGTACCAAATATTAAGGATTTTATTATAAAGCTACAAGGATCTTATATTGGCTGCAGGTACAGACCAGTATATCACAAGAGTAACTGTTTATGGAGGTAACAAGGCTCTGACAAGATTCCACTAAACAGTGTATGAATTTACAACTTCATTCGTAACAACACAAAGATGTCATCCTAAGAACGCAATCCATTCATAAAAGGAGCATTAGAATGATCTCATTTAAAGCATGCCACTTGTCTTACATGTGAGTGTAAGACATGTTTTCCTTGCTCTGGTGTAAACAGTAGATAATCAGAATAAATGAGCTCGCATCAGTTTAGAACCTGGTCTGAAAGGCCTACCTTTATACTAGCGGTGAATCATTTTTATACCATCAGGCTAATGGTTGAGAAAGTAAATAAACTATACCTGTTGAAAGACAGCATGAATAATACTTCCATAAAGCATCTGTATATTTCTACTGTCACAACCCTGTAAAGAGAGATAACTTTCTTATTACCTTCATGTCAAGATGACAAACCTGTTTAATGTTTATCATCATGTTGTATTTATGAAAACATTAAACAAGCAAAGATTGTCAAATAAAAGATAAAATATTCATACATCTACTTTACCATGACTGATCTAGTTTTTAATAATTCTTGAAATTTTATTTGTAGGTGTTATGCTTAACAATAATGGCCAGATTTTAATGTTGTTGAAATGACATATCAAGGTGCAGTACCTAAGATTTTTGAAAGAAAAATGTTTTTATTTGTGCAATCTACATTTAACATTTGGTCATTGTATATCAAAATATATAATAATTAAAATTTGAAACAAGTGACATTGAGAATTTAACATTCTGATTGCCTTCAGCCTTGACATTTCAGATTCTAGTACTGTAGTACACGTAATATAAACAACTTCTTACCTTAAACTTTTCCTTCAGTATTGATCTACAACAAAGAAAATATGACTTTAAATCATTTTCCTCTGACTGTTGTGGGTTCGAAAATTATTGAGTTGTCATGACTTAAAATCCAACAAATCAAGCTAACTTACTTTAGAAAGCTTGAAGAAAAATGTACTGACTGAATAGAGAACAATGCAGACCATGATCATACCTTACAGATGTGCCAACTGATATTGGTATGTGGTGGTCGCATATTTAGAATCATTTGATGCCTGCGGGCTAAAGGTTAAACAAAAATTTTCAAACACTGAAGTAAATAATCTTACTTTCTCATACAAAATACACTGGATACAACTGTAGTTCCTGACAGAAGAAGGTCTGGATTTATAATAAGCAATCCAGACTGGTCAGTGATGTGACAAACATTGTCTGTAAAATCTGCGAGGATATGGACTGTGTCTCCTTCTGATATATGACTGTCTAACCTAAACAAAAGTTAACAAATTATACTTCATGCTTTTTTTTCTATACTATACATTGTCTTCAATACTATCAAATTGAAATATCTATACAGAGACATACAATTGTTGTTATGTGTGCTCCCCCCCCCCCCCCACCTGATTAACTGAAATACATATACAATAGCGTAATTATGACAGTATCTTGATCTGGAATTTGTATTTGAATCCTTTCAGTGTATTTTACTATGCTAGAATCTTACAAGGAATGGAACTGCAAAAGAGTGATCCGTCCTAGTAGAATCCATGAGAGCCAAAATACAATTTACATGAATAGATCATGTACAAGTTATAGTTATAATCACATAGGAGACTAACTTAATATGATACAAAATTTATATACCAGAATCCACTGAGTATACAGCCGGAGAACATCCCTGGCTGTTGAGCATAAGTCTAGCAATCATCTGATGTCTGTCATTTGAAAGACTCAACTTTAACAACTGTATGCCGACCATAGCTGCCATATGGAGCTTTATCTGACCTGTAACACCTAGTACTTCTCTGAAAAAACACCACTCAAGAGTGCACCAATCACAATAACTATTTTTATTATGTATATGCATCCTATCAGCGCAAAAGCTAACAATATCATGATCCAATGGACTCATATACTATATTCACTATAGTAAATCAATGAGAGCTAACCATTTATATTGCTCATGTATAATCTTAATTATTTATGTTGCATTATCGGTTAGGATTTATTTCTCTATGTAGATCCATTCAAACATTGGCAGGGGTGGAGTCACAGCTGACAGTGAGTAGACCTAATACACCTGTGCTAAATTAGGATTATCCGATATAAAACCTCTTAATGTCTCACTAGTTACACTACTAGTTTGCATTAAATCTAGAAGTTCAACCGACACATAAAAATAAATGACAATGACCACAAGAAGTAACAGCAAATTATGATAAAACAATTAATATAATATTAAGTTCCTATTCTTTTTAAAAGGAAACAGCTGCATTATTGCATCCACAAAGCTCCGGCTCACATTAGACTTTTGAGTCCAAATAGCGAAGCTCAATCCTCCATTTCTCTGCGGAGGATGCTGATCACTATTTGCTTGGTTTATCAATGGGCTACAATAGTGATATAGGCGTAGGGGTAATCCATCAACTGACTACTCGAGAATTGTTTTCCCACATTTGTTTCTAAATTAATTCAACTCAAGTTTGAAAATAGTCTCATCATCTTTAGTCCAATCACAGCAAGATGTCGATCCCTTGTTAGTCTGACATTCGCCACGCATATGAATGACCATGTTTTACATTACTCTGTTGTTCCCTTTATGAAGAGGTTTTAGTTTTGTAAAAATCTGCAACAGTGTTTCTTTTGTTTTGTATCGGAAGTATCATAGACTGTGTAATCAATTTGATGGTTTATAACATTCACTGGGAGACTTTAGTTCTTAGTATAGATTATGAGTTCTACAGTGTGTACATCTTGTGTTACACCGGAAATGTACCGTTCATATTTCACGTCACACATGTCTGAAGAACAAAATAAATGAGACCAACAATTCTACAAACCAACCTTTTATAACCACAATAAACTTGCACATCTGTAAGAGACGTCTATGAGTCACTCGCATTGGCTATACTATACAATTGATCCATCTATGCAATAAATGGAGGACAATACAAACCTATGACATATAACACAGAATTTCTAAAAAATCAAGTAAACAAATTAATTTATTTACCATTGCATTATTCTCATACGAGTTTATAATATATAGCAAAAACTGAAATATATTAATACTAAAATATACAACTAAAGTAGCCTGTTCTTTTTTACAGTGTTCATATGTAATCCATCTATTCGCGATTTAATCCTCAAGCAAGATTATATTTGAGTAAACTCATACAACAGTCGCTAGGGATGGTCATTTGAAGATGCCGGAATTATCTATGAACATTCAGGTAATACATTATCGGTGTCCGGAGCAGTCATGCTCATCGAATCCGCATGGCCTTGACCAAAAAAAATATTACAGATATTGACACAGATAACAGTGATACGGAAACCACCTTGCTTGAAGACAATCGACTCGTAGACACCTGGTTGTCACCCTGACCCACCAGCCCCCCCCCCCCACTTGCTGCCCTCCTTTATTGTAATCCGTTATGTTGTTACCAAATTCCACTACATAAATTCTCGGTGCCAGACCACAAAAAATCAACTAATTACTGATACATTAATATACAATCAGTGATGACCATGTATAGATCAAATATTAAACATCCAAACTTTTACTATATATCCTCTCTCGTCCGCCCTTTCTTGACTGCACGTCCCTCACCTTTCGGGGTAAAGTCTAAGAGACTATTGTAGGATTTAAGATGTAGAATCAAAGACACATGTCGATTGACATCTGCAACGATTCTATGTCCAATATGATTAATTACATATCTAGGCTTATCTACTTTAGCCATCACACTGTCCCACAAACCGATCGACTAGGTGAACCTCTCCCTTTTGTCGTTTCGTCCCCCGTCCGTGCAACCCCGTCTCCTACACTTTACTTACAATAACATCCCTCACTACAAACCACAAAACCAACTTCATCCAAACTTCCACCAGACACTGTCTCTTTGGTGGTACAGCACTCTCACAATAATTTTTTGTGTTTATGTATATTGTGTATTTTTTTGCCCTGTTTTCTTTGTTTTTTGCAGTATTCTTTGTTTTTTTTTTTCGTTTTCCTCTTTTGTTTTCTTTATGCTGTCTTTTCTTTCTTTCTTCTTCTTTTCTTTTTTTGTTCACAGAATTTAATTCATACAGAACTCTCGTTTTGCATGGTCAACCAGAAAAAATACTTGTAACATATTCTTCCTGTCTAACCGATAAAAATTCTCCATAAGGCATAGAGCTAATAGATGGATTCTATGCAGTGAAAATCTTGTAGTGAGTGCTTACCAAGTTTGCTCAAACTACGAAACTGATTCATAGGAACACGGGTGCGCCACGCGCACATGTTCTTGTCTAATCCTTTGCAACTAAGTAAAGGAAAAACATCACAAAACTACCTCAGGATAAACCCCACCAACGAAAACCACCCAAGTGCGAAACTCTAAATATTACTGCAACAACAACCGCCATAACAGCGCAATGACTTAAGCTCCACCCATCCCATCGAGAGACATCTCGCGAACACGACAATTTGAAAAGCAAACTAATTTCTAAGTGAATGGCATAACTATAAAAATACTAATTTATAAATCCAGACGGAAAATACCTTTGCTGCCACAACCTGCAGCATGCTGATCTAAATAGGGTCCTAGTCAAGGCTGTTTCAGCATGACCGTCCTGTACATATACGTGTACTTGTTTGAGTTTTACGTCGTGCGACAACCACATTGCCTTTTGAACAACTCGAGCAAAACTGTTACTAAGCAAAAGGGCAATACAAAGATACTCCGAATACATATCAAAATATTTCCCACCACGTAAGAATACCCCATTGATTGCCAGCAAACCCTACACATGGTATCACACTCCAGTCATGGTCCAAAATTATCAATGACTCTCCGGGTCTCACACAATATTTTTTGCCATTACGTGCACACATCCACCTAGGTGAGAAATTGCAAAAAATTTCTTACTACAGTCAAGGCAATAACTCGGAAAATACTAAAAATATCCCCACGAATAATACCAATGCACAACAACACTTGCTATATCAACATCTGTAAAGTTCATGAACTCTAGGTCAAATCAAATTTAATGGAAGGTTAACATCAACAAACACACTTAAAAATTGCAAATTTACTATCACACGGGCAACAAACTCCGAAGATACTAAAAACTATTCAGACGAAAAAAAAATCCCAGGGTGCTAGCAACTACACAACGAATGCTGATTCAATCATTCCTAGTAAAGTTTAACGGATTAACACATAAGGTCAACATACTATGTATTTGAGTCAAAATGCGACCAAATTAAAAGTATGCAAATTTTACTAAGTCAACGGGAATGAGAGTGGGATAAAAATGAGCTAAACACCATCCATCCGACCATCGAAGGAGATGACTACATCAGGTCGGAATCAAACTTATCACGCGCGCTGTAGATAATAACAAGCATTCTCATGATGTAAAGATTATCATGAACACATAGCGTTTCAAAAAATTTACTTCTTTTTGAGAAGTGGAAACGCGCAGAACAGGCTAGAAAACGAATGGATAACTAAGGCACTGGACGAAAGGGACGACGGACCGACAGGTAAAAACATTCCTAAATCCTGAACATGAGATCTCTAGGCGCGAAGATACAGTAGAATAAAACCAATGAGGAGCCGTCGTCAAAATTGCCATTGGGCCGCCTGCCAGGGGGTCATTGATTTTCCTGATCCCGAGCGGTGAGTTCCATTGATTTTTCCCTATTATGACATATAGTCAAAACATAAAGGAATCTTCTTTTTAAAGACACCCCATAAGAGCTAGAGCTAGAATATTAGCATGAAACATTTTCTAAGGGTGTCATACCAAGTTTGTTCAAATAAAAAGCCCACCTGGTGGTCAAAAGTTGGTTCAGCCGCCATGGGTCTTGATTTTCCCTATGGAACATGCATTACTCACGTAAAAAAACTTAAAAAAATCTTTCTTTTAAAAAACCCCATAAGACCTAGGAGCTAAGAATCACCGGCATGACCACATCTCTAGCGCTTCTACCTAAGTCCATTATATCAATACAAGGGCCCTGTCAAAAATGCCCGGCCCACGGGGGTCATTTGCATCTCACTAATACGCATAAGTCAAAAATCCTAGAAAACCTCTTCTTTTAAAGAACACACAGAGTATGAGCATAAATTGACTACCTTCTTAGCACATCGGAAACCAACTAGTTCTAATAAGGGGGTGTTCGTACACAGCATCCATAATTTTCCACCAGCCTGGGTACCGCCGCCAGGGGGTCATGTTCTTTCTTTCATTACCCCACTCTTCTGTACCCGCCCGACAGACCATAAAAAGCAAAAGTACTTGTCTCCCAAAGAAAAAGCTCTGGGTACAAACTCTGCCCCACACCGCCAGGGGTCATTCAAGAATTCTTATACTCTGTGATAGCAAAAAACGTAAAAATCTCTCATTTTGAAACAAACCCAAATATAGAACTCGATTATAGAAAACTACTTATGTCCACTAAACTGCATCTTAGGAGTCATACCAACTTGCTTAAATGAAGATATACTAGGTCAAAATTGGCTCCCGCTGCTCAGGGGTCATTGATTTTCACCTATCGGCATCAAAATATAAAAAACTTTTTGAATATCAAATCTTACTTCTAAAAGAACACAAAGAGAGTCTAGAGCATTACCGACTATTGGCATGAAACAGTTTGTGGGTATATGATATAGATATATAA